GGAAAGGGAAAGAAAAATGCCATACAACATCATTTATATGAGGAATCTAAAAAATATCAATAATAATAAGGCCACCAATGTACTAATTATCATTCTGACTTCTTGAATATGTGTAAGCACATCTGACTGTCCTTTATGACTGGATTACCATATTCTGTTGATTCTTATTTTGTAGTTGGCTTTATTCCTTTAATAACTATGTAAGTTTAAAAACCTAATCTCTTCTCAGAATCAGTAAGTAGTCCATATATGTAAACTAAAAAAAAGTACAGTATACTGTATCTATGTATCTACATGCAATATAATCTGTATGTGCAGTCGAACTGTAGTAACTCTACCTAATAAAACTGGAAAAGGAGGGAAGAAAAAACAAACCAGACATACGGATCAATGAAACAGAATAGAGAGCCCAGACATAAACCCACAAACATTCAGTCAATTCATCTTCGACAAAGAAGGCAAGAACATACAGTGGAGTAAAGACAGTCTCTTCAGCAAAGCATGCAGGGAAAACTGGACAGCTGCATGTAAATCAATGAAGTCAGAATACTCCCTCATACCCTGCACAGAAACGAATTCAAAATGGCTTCAAGACTTAAACATAAGACAAGACACTATACACCTCTTCGGCAAAAACTTAATCTTACATACATCTCAGCAGTTTTGTCCTAGGGCAGTCTACTCCAGCAATAGAAATAAAAGCACAAATAAACAAACAAATGGGACCAAGCTGAATTTATCAGCTTTTGCACAGCAAAGAAAACCATAAGCAAAACAGAAGGACAACCTACGAGATGGGAGAAAACATTTGCAAAAGATGAGACTGACAAGGGGTTAATTTCCAGAATACAGAAACAGCTCATACAACTGAATAACCAAAAAACAACTCAATCCAAAAATGGACAGAAAATCTAAACCAGCATTTCTCCAATGAAGACATACAAATGGCCACCAGGCACATGAAAAAAGGCTCAATGTTGCTAATTATCAAAGAAATACAAGTCAAAACTACAATGAGGTATCATGTCACACCAGTCAGAAAGGCCTTCATTCCAAAGTCCACAAAGGATAAATGCTGGAGAGGCTGCGGAGAAAAGGAAACCCTCCTACACTGTTGGTGGAAATGGAGCTTTGTGCAGCCACTGTGGAAAACAGGAGGGAGATTCCTCAAAAGACTAAAAAGACACTTGTCAAAAGCTTTTGATCTTGGGGGCAGGCTAACAAGCTCCCAAAGGCCCAGGCCGCGCCCGGTATTCCGCCCCAGCTCGCACAGGGTCTGGGGCGGCCTCCGCTCCCAGGACAGGTCCACCTACGCAGGAAGGCCACGGCCTGAGGGCCAGTCCAGCGCCCTCCCATCTCCCAGGGCTGCTCCGACTTTCCCAAACCCCTCTATCAGTGGCGGCCAAGAAAGACGTGGGGTTCAGTGACTGCTAAACAACTGGGGCGGCGGGCCCGGGACCTGCCTTAGGGCCCTAACGGGACGCGCGGCCTGGGCCTCACCCACGCACCCCTCCCTGTGCGCCTCCCCAGCTGCACAGCCCAGGCCTCACCTGCCGACTCCTCGACCTGCTCGCCCTGACCAGCGCCCCCTTACCTGCTTGGCGACAGCAGCAGAAGCGACAGCAAGCGGCCGGTGGCCCAGGCCCCAGGTGCACTCCTCCTTCGGGAGCCGGTTCAGGAGCACCGGGCTCCCGCCCGCGTCCGCACGCTCTGGGCGCGCTCCCGCGTCCGCGCACATGCGCGTTGGTGCGCTCCCCTCCCCCTCCCGCCCTCCGCGTGGACACTAGTCTTGGGCTCCTGCAGTAGGGTCCCTGCGACTGAGGCCTGGCGGTG